AGACACTTTTATCCGAAGTGACTTCCAGTGCTCTTATTACAGGGAGCTCAATCCCCCAGCAGCCACCTGGAGTAAAGAGCTGGTGGTGACGACTGCAGAGATCGAACCAGCAACCTTCTGCTGACCAGTGCAGTGTTTTAGCCCACTACACCACACGAATATTTGGAGCAGACACAGCAGCAGCCAGATTGTCCCGCATGTGTTCTCCTGCTCTTGCTTCAAGATCGGACACCACAAAATGACAAAGAGAGTGGAGACTCACTGTATCAGATGTCGAGGAGGATATGGAAAGGAATGGAGAGGGCTCGCAGCCGATCAGTGTGACAGGATCACGAAAAAGGCCAGGTCAGTCATCCAAATCTTATTGAGTGAAGAAAGTAGTCCAGAAAATAATCCAAGTAATCCAGATCTGTCGAATCCCAGCAGAAACATATCCAAAAACGTATCAGCAAATAAACAAACAAACAGGTACCAGCGTGAAGCGGCTGCACAAGCGCGCCTGCGTTCTCACACCGGAAGTCGGTGAAACCAAATAAAGCTTTGTTTCATGTGTCGATGACTTGTATTTATTTATTGTCATGGTTACTTTTATTTATTTTTACTCATTTATTCATGTTTCCTGTTTTCAGTAAATAAAATATAATTGTTTCATTAACTTGTGCATTAATTCATTACTTGACTGAAAACTGAGATGTATTCACCTTGGCTGCGTTTGTCTCTAGTGTGTAGTCATGCATAGCTATTGCATATGACAAAACAAATGACATTTTGCTAATTATTGGTCAGCATTTATCATTATTATTGTTCATAAGTGTTGGGGTGGGCTAGCAATGCATTCTGGGTTAATCTTAACTTCTAAGTAGTAATACTTACATTTTTCGAGTGTAAAATTAATAGTCTTTTCCAAAGGCGAGATCTTCTAGCAGCTGATCGACGTCTCCTTTGTGCAGATATTACAAATACTGCAAACACTGAGGAAAACTGTACTAGGTAGAGTTGTGGAGTTACTGATACTATGAGGTGTTAGTGCACCTGTCCATCTTATGATTACATACAGGAAAGATGGTAGTATCTTTAACAATGAACAATCATAATGACAAAAAGCAGAAAACATAAAACATAAAGGGTTTGCATACATTATATGCACAGAAAAAAAAGGCAAAATGACAAGGTTAAATATATTTGAATAATCATAATATTCATATAATCAATGCATCAAAATATTGCATTTGTTGTTGTTGTTTATAAGTCGGAGGGATGAAACGAGAGAAATTCAACAAGAAAAAGAGGAAAACAGGAGATTTAAGCCGGTTTTGCTTATGGATGAAAAATTTTGCACATAAAATAAAGCAACAACATATTCAAGAGATAACGATTTTGGGTTTTAGTAATAAATAATAATATA